ACGGCTGAAAGAGCGAACATGTTTGGTGTGACGGGGATTCGAACCCGCGACCCTCAGATTGCGAGTCGAGCGCCTTAACCACCTGTCATAATTCGATAAATAACTACAAAGAATATTGATACTTTTTAGCGAACTATCAAAATGGACTCAATATCATTATATTCCTTTTTGGACATGAGTTGTAGCACACTTGGTAATTAGAAGCAAAAGAATTGTATTTTGATCAACTGATAAAGCAGTTGTCCAGTGATTAAGAAAAATAATTGGACTCCCCCAAAAATATATTGAACAGTATTTCATATGTATATCATTTGTATATTTGTTTGTTAAACAGGAAACTATACAATGGTTTATGTACTTTGTCCATAACATGGGTCTAACTCCGAATTTTAGTGATATAAGCCCTTAAGCTAACCACTAAACCACCGGGAGGCCATATATCATTTTAATGTAAAGTTTAAAGTTGCTGTTTTTTTGTAAATCATATCTTAAAATTTACAAAAAGTTTCATTTAAAATCAATCAAGTTTTTTATAGCCGGTAGAGAATGTATGTACAGGAACTTATGGCCAAAATCATGCGTTAGGATCATATATTTGTTCATTAGTGATAATATAACTTTTAGTAGATGACCTAGTGAAAGTTGGTTTATTTTTATTTTATATGTTTTGTTTGTACCAGTATAGTAGCTGTTAGATTTTACAAATGGATGGCCGTATTCTTTAGAGTAGGTGTCTGTGACTCGTTGGTGATAAATTTCAACAATAAACAAACAGCACATAATTCACTTGTTTTAAAATAATATATTAAAACAAGTCAAACATATATAGAAATGTTTGCTACAATGTTGTGTATCACAGTTGTATCCAGAGCTTTAAATAATTGTCTCTTTTTCGTCGAAGTTCACATAGGCTGGTTCAGTTACTGTAGAACACAATTTGACAAGATGATTTATTCTTTTCTACTCTGTTATTACAATACAATCTGTGGCAATTTTACTTTAAAGGTCGCCATTATACACTCTTTATTGCTAAACTTATAATCACACAGTCTATATCTAGCTATCTAACTAACTTTGTCTAAGTATCTCAAACTACATTTTATAAGCGTATTTATAGACTGACAGAGGCCTGGAATATTCCATACACTATGCAATATTATGATGCAATAATACAAAATTGAATAAAAGAGAAAACATAGAAATTTCTAGTAAGATGATGGAGTAGCACAAACAAGCGTCAATTCACAACAATTGAACTACACAACGTATGATTTGTACAGAGTTACGTAAACAAACCCAGGATAAACTATCACTTCTAAAATTAGCTAAATTAACTAACTCTATGCTTAAACCATCTAAATCCCAACACTATTATTAATTCAAACAGTCGTGTATATATATAACAGTAGCCTTAGTATCGATTGACAAATTATCTTGTGTTCTCCTCTAGTGTGTTTGTCCGCTCCACTTTACCGGCTGGCGTTGTGAAGAAGAAGTCACTGTGCACATCCCTCATTTTGGAGGTAATTCCTTCCTACAACACGAGTTTCGAAGTAGGAGGTTCCAGCAGGGCTTGAACATAGACGTTAGTTTCAGGACAACAACTTCAGATGGCTTGATTCTGTATTCTCAAGCTATCGATAGTAGTGGTGCCTTTGTGCAGCTTGTGCTTAGCGATGGGATGTTAAAGTTCAGCTTCTCTTGTGGTAAACAGACAATGGTGTTTGTTCAGTCTCACCAAAAAGTGAACAGTGCTTATATCGTGAACATCAATATCATGTAAGTTGTTTTACCACATCTGAAATATATTTTATCTTTGTTTTCATGTATTTCTACTTTTCTAAAGAAAAATGTCTAATGATATTACATTTCTTCATATTGGAACCAATGATGCAGTTAACAAAATCTTTATATACCAACGTTTCGGTGACTACAGCTTACCATCATTTGATGACACTTTCAATTGACGACAGCGGTTGTTTCTGACCGCATGGTTTCGAATCAAAATGGAAACGAAAGCTATTTCCTCTTCTGTCGTCCTTTACTTAGATGACATTGTAAGCGTTGTACGCTGTGATTCCCTCATCGTGATGATCAACAAGATTTTCTGGACCGTCAACTGACAGTGTCCTACAACTAATAAAATTTGTGTTCAACTTGAGCACCTTCTGATTCAGTTGTAGTATTTACAAAGAAACTTGGTGTTGTGGTGGGTACTAAAATGGATCCAGCATGTTTATTGGCTAGATTGAACACCAAACATTTTAATAGTTTCATGGCACCTTACTGTAGATACATTAATGACGTGGGCACGTTTGTTTGCGACCTAACATAGTTTGACATTTTTATTAGTTTCCTTTTTCAACTGGAAAATTTCTAGCACACATCTTTCATTCCTTGACTTGGACGTTAGTTCTGACAGGGACAGACTCACTACTTCTGTCCACTACAAACATACAAATTCTCAATCTTATTTGTTTTTTTTATTCTTGTCATTCATCTTCTACCTTATACATTCCATTCCTTATTCACTACTTTCATTTTTAGAAGGTACACATTTAATTATAGAAAGTATATAAAGATTTTGAAGCAGTTATTGGTGGGGTAGTAGATACATATATATGGGTAAGTTTCATCTCGTAAGAATGAGACATGATCACATACAACACTGAAAGTACAAATACATTCGAATTACATATATATCCAATCAAATAATCTTAATTAAGATGATAACTTTTCAACGTTTTTTTAATGTCAGTTAGTCAATACAAATACAAAGGTGCTCCTGATTTCTTACTTAGATTTTAATTTTTTGATTATTAATGCTTCTAAAAGTTTTATTTTCTTTGGGTTTTTAAAGAAAATTGAGAATAGGAGGTAATGTAACATATTTTAATTGTACGACAACTTTCAGTAGGCTTGCGCTTACCCCTTTAATATTCCTATTTACATTAGATTATGTAAAATCCACACGAGCGTCAATTCAAAAGTAAAACATATATATATTAAAATTTACGTTTTTACAGTTAAAGATTTATAGCTTTCAGGTATTACGCAAAAACATGCGTAATACTAACATTATCAGTTGTGTTTTATTAACGGCTTTCGAGTCTCATTTGCTAATTTAGAACGTTTCTCACTTCAGTGCATTTGAGTGAACTCGCAATTCATATCAGTTTAGTGCAGTTGAAGTCTAAAATTCATTTCTTATCGTATAATAGGGAGCCACATCCCGTTTGCATGGCTTTCAGCATTAATTTTACTTCTTAGCTTTGTTTCTTCAGGAGCTTCATTTCACCATGATTGTTTTCTATCTTCTTCAGTTATCCTACTTTATGCTAAACTTTCTTGATATTGTTGTGCCATCCCTATACGTTTTCATTCTCTTGCCAAGCGACGTTTGCTTTCTTGTACTGTTTCTGAACTATTTTTAATTATATTCAGAATTTTAGTTTAGAAGTTACTTCACAGATGGTGCTAGTAGTGTTCATTTGAAAATATAATCCTGCAATGTTTTCTTCACACCAAATCAAAGCAGGAGAAGTCCATAAACACGCAGTTCATATACTATGTATATTTTTCATAAATGCTGCCTGTTATGTAAACGTGTTTGTTTTACATATTTTGTGTTTAATCATCAATCTACCCTTTGATTGCTGTTATATATTTTTCTCTCCACGAAAGGAATACATGGTTATTTTAAGAAATATGTGAATAATTAATTGTTAAGATGTAAGAAAGTGTGCATTTTCTTAGCTTTACGATATTTTAATGTTGCTATAGCATTTAGCTTTGTGTTGTCATATAGTTTTAAAATATAATATCTATATATATATATATACGTGTGTGTATGTATTGTACATTATTGTATATAGGCAAAATATATCAAACAAAATATCTCAGATACACACTTATTTCCAATTGCTCTTTAAAAAAATGTTAAACTAAAAAGTCAAATGATAAAAAACCTATAAGTGTTTACAACTCATATATATATATATATACTAATATATTTGATTTTATTGCCCTTTAGCATCTCTATTGCCAGACTGAAACACTTCAAATATCATAACTTTGTTTCACTTACCATTGAATGTACTTTTACTTGTCATATCATTCTCTGTATCTTAATTAGTACAAAACTTAATCTTAACTAGGCACAAGGGTGTATTATAAATATTTCCACGAAATTATAACTAAAGTCAACGAGACATTTTTTAGTATGCTCAACAATTCTACATATGTTGAGTACGTTATACCTGAAACTATAGATGTTGAGTACGTTATACCTGAAACTATAGATGTTGAGTACGTTATACCTGAAACTATAGATGTTGAGTACGTTATACCTGAAACTACAGATGTTGAGTACGTTATACCTGAAACTATAGATGTTGAGTACGTTATACCTGAAACTACAGATGTTGAGTACGTTATACCTGAAACTACACATGTTTAGTACGTTATACCTGAAACTACAGATGTTGAGGACGTTATACCTGAAACTATAGATGTTGAGTACGTTATACCTGAAACTACAGATGTTGAGGACGTTATACCTGAAACTATAGATGTTGAGTACGTTATACCTGAAACTATAGATGTTGAGTACGTTATACCTGAAACTACAGATGTTGAGTACGTTATACCTGAAACTACAGATGTTGAGTACGTTATACCTGAAACTATAGATGTTGAGTACGTTATACCTGAAACTATAGATGTTGAGTACGTTATACCTGAAACTACACATGTTTAGTACGTTATACCTGCAACTACAGATGTTGAGTACGTTATACCTGAAACTACAGATGTTGAGGACGTTATACCTGAAACTACACATGTTTAGTACGTTATACCTGAAACTACAGATGTTGAGGACGTTATACCTGAAACTACAGATGTTGAGGACGTTATACCTGAAACTACAGATGTTGAGGATGTTATACCTGAAACTATAGATGTTGAGTACGTTATACCTGAAACGATTTTTGAGCCTCACCGTGTCATTACAGCCCATGTCGCCCATGACCGTACATTTTAACAGCAACCCTGTAACGTAGTTTAAATAACATAATTCTGCCATTTCCAAAGTACATCACTCCTCTGTTAGCTTTCTATAAGTCTGATCACACAGAAATGCATAGGTACTTCCAGCGACTTGATCGGTATATTTTTGTTTGGAATAGCATGATCACATTTGTTTATACTTCTGTTGCTTGAGAAATCCAGCGTTTGAATGGGAGGTAACACTGGAAGTCTTTTTCTTGGTGAACTCATATCCTGTTTGCCTCGTTTCCAGATGGAGGTACTTATTGATTATGTTGTATACTGTTGTCTTGAGCACGTGGACTGCGTTTTCCATTGTCATTTGTGTTTTTGGATACTCACATAGTACCAGACGACACATTTTGCTTATCACAGAGGGTTTACGCCTTGTTGCAGGTTTCTTTCAGAATGTTTCTGGTGTCCCAAGTTGATCAGTTTGTTTGTTTTCCAATGCCATTAAATTCACGGATGTCCCTCTCTTGGAAATTCCAAAGCCTCAGTCTAAACTCGTCTTTATGATCTCGATGTATGAATTTTTTATGCCCCAAAACGATGAATTTTATGTAGCATCACACTGCCTACAAAACGCCAAACAATTTCAAAAATGTAGTTCTGATACATTCCACCGCGACTTTATATCAGTTGTATTTGTTACGTACCTTACTGACTTGCATATCCAAAATCTTTTTAATATAACGTACTCAACTGTTCTGAAAAACAAAAAATGAGTGTTTTCCATTCCTGTTTTTTTTGGGGGGGGTGGAATAGATAATGTGTATCATGATATTATATAAGTGAAAACATATTTTTTGTCGCTGAAAAATGAAACTCAAAGTCACTTCTAACAGTACGTAGAAAAAAAAAGAATACTTTCAGAGGACCACATTACTGTAGAGAGAAAGAGCTAATTACAAGAAAAACAAATGTATCTTTCAGACTTAGCTGGATTCCTGACGGACGTGGAAGCGGAGAGTGCACGGCTTCTCTGCAGGTCAACGGAACGGCTCCCATGAAAGGTTCACAATACGTTGTCTCTCCTGTGTTTAATTTCACAACTTTTTACCTTGGAGGTTTTCCTCCCGGATTGAACATTTCAAACGTTCCCATGTTCAGCATTCCTGGTTTTGTAGGATGTATGAGAGATCTCCAGGTAGGGAAACAAATTACAATAATGATCTTATTATATATCTGTAAATGCTACGCTATCTAGTAATAAATGGTGCGATATTAAGTTTTTAGCAATTATTATGGCTACAATTTACTTTCATAGCCGAAACTATTTTTACTGATAATGATATTCTATTTCGTACTAGAAATGCAAAGTATAAATTGTTAATTGGTGTACGTTTCCGTACTTTTAGTTAACGCGAGTCTATTTTCAAAATTGTGTGCAAATAAAATTCTGTTCCCAAGAATTAATATTAGAATGCCCAGTTGTAATAATAGGAATTAATATGACATTTATGGTATTGAAACCGTTTTGATTCTATTTTAGTAATCGATATAACCATAGTTATATTTCTACTGTTTAATGACATCGCAAAAGTTACTACACCTGTTTTTTATGATATAGAAATTAGCTGGAATATTCCTTGTTCATAATTATGCCTCTTAGCGTGATTCTGTATTTTCAACCTATTAACTTGTTTCTTCGTAGTTTTGTTAACAGTAACAATTACATTGGGTAAAACTAATACCGTGATAATTTTATTGGTGGTGTTTCACAAAAAAAAAATGTTTTGTTAGAAGTATTCATGGATAAGTGTTTATCTATAGCAGCTGGTGTTATTACTGTATTATATTTTGTTCAGCTAAATGTGGTTAAAATCCTTTGACAATCAAATACTCGGTTTTGTCGGTTGCAAATCGCATGAAATATATGCAAAATTATATTTGAACCTTAACTTTCGAAATTATGACAGCCTTTCATCATGAGCCACAAAATTAACAGTGTAAAGGATTGAATCTTAAACAAGTTACGTAAGGCCCGACAACACTACAAAAAAGAAAAGAAAACATAATGCATGCAGAATGTGTCATATTGTTTGTCACATAACTATATAACAATTAATGCGAGTGGTTTATGCTATCAAAGATGGTGATCTATAATAATAAAAAAAAGATAAAATAATAAAAGAGAATCAATCGCCATCATAATAGGTTGAAGATATCGCACTAGTAATTTAACATACAGAGAAGTAGACGAACTGTTTATCCTATCCAACTTAGTGACGAAGGTTCTGAGTTTTTCTATCCACAAAGCTTTTGACACAATCCTGCCTCTACACGTTACCTTAACTTGAAGCCTTAACACAAGTAGATCATCCAGGTTGTGTCAAACATCGTTGAACCCAAATGTTAACAATGATGTACATAACAGATTAAAGTATGTTTTAATGGAAAAAGGTTCTTCCTACACTACGATTACACAACATTCATACTATCTGAAGCTGGCTTGAAGAGAATAATAGTCATCTTCCTTGGCCTTCCTGGTTCTCAGGAACATCTTGAACATCTTTAGAATTACAGATCTTGAACGTTGCAATTGCCACAGTAATTTCCTGCTGATGTCTGAGAACTAAATATTTATCACACTATTTAACGAATCTAATTGATACATTTTGTGTTATTGCAAAATCATACCAAACATTAACTATGGGTCAATGTTAAACTTGTTACCCTGTGTGCAATACTTATGTAATAAACAAACAAATTTTAAAATGTATTTTTTTTTGTTGTTAAAGAAGATTGGTTTTACCCTGAGTTGGTTTTAATTATTAATGTAAAATACGTTCCTCCCTACACAAATGGTGAGAAAACATCGTGGCTGAGGTCTGTACCTTTAGTTCTAAGTATTGATATGAAATACTTCATTTTCTAGATAAACGGCAAGGAAAGACGTATCGTGAATGATGCCGAAAACGGAGCTGGTATTACTGAATGTGAAAATAACATCTGTTCATTAAAGCCGTGTCAGAATGGAGGCCAGTGTAAAAGGTCGGACTAATTATCCTTGCTGTATGTGTTTGAACACTTAAAATGAACACAAGGTTGGCATACATCAGTCAAGCTTCTAAATAAATGATGTCACATTATACACTCAGACACATTTTCTAATTCATGACACAATTAATTTTCAACAGAGTTTATAATTACAAAGTTCACAATTTAACAATGAATATCTGAGTCAACCATGCAGAACATGTACGGTATTCTCCTACCAGAAGGCACGCATCCAGTATTTCCTCAACTCACTTGCATATCGTTACGGAACATTTAACAGCGTTTATAATTACAAAGTTCACAATTTAACAATGAATCTCTGAGTCAACCATACAGAACATATACGGTATTCTCCTACCAGAAGGCACACATCCAGTATTTCCTCAACTCACTTGCATATTGTTACGGAACATTCACTGTCGTGTGAGGAATACAACGTTGTTCGTCAAATCAAATACTGAAAAGAGCTTGAGGAGATGCACTGACTTAAAAAATTGGAGAATTGTTTCCTGAACTTTACCTGAGATTAAAGAGTTATTGTAATACAATACTTATATCTGTCTGCTTAAAGCTAACATATCGACACAACAAGTTCGTTGAAACTTCCGATGGCTGCTGATTTATACACTACAAAATCTCTACACTGGAGAAACCCTTACAAAGCAATGTGTCAGGAGAAGTTTACTACAGAGTTACAAAGCATAACTAATTTTGCTTGACTGAATAGTGTTCAGCGGTAAGTCTACTGATTTACAAAGCTCCGTGGACACAGTAGATAGCCCGATGTGGCTTTGCTATAAGAAAAACACACACAAAGACACATCGAATAGTGTTTATAGAGAAGGAAATTGACAACAGAATGATGATAATGATAATGAAAACAAATAAGCTGCAGGAGACTGAAAATAATAATGATGGTGGTGGTGATGAAGAACGGGCTGCAGAATGTAGTAGAAGAAAAGGAAGAAACGAGCTTCGATCTGCGGTGTAGAATAATGATACTAACGATGAAGAAAAAAACGATACGATCTTCGAAGGAAAAGAAGAACGATTGATGCAGAATGTAGTAGAAGAAAAGGAAGAACGAGCTTCGATCTGCGGTGTAGAATAATGATACTAACGATGAAGAAAAAAACGATACGATCTTCGAAGGAAAAGAAGAATGAGTGATGCAGAAGAACGATTGATGCAGAATGTAGTAGAAGAAAAGGAAGAACGAGCTTCGATCTGCGGTGTAGAATAATGATACTAACGATGAAGAAAAAAACGATACGATCTTCGAAGGAAAAGAAGAATGAGTGATGCAGAAGAACGATTGATGCAGAATGTAGTAGAAGAAAAGGAAGAAACGAGCTTCGATCTGCGGTGTAGAATAATGATACTAACGATGAAGAAAAAAACGATACGATCTTCGAAGGAATAGAAGAACGATTGATGCAGAATGATTTCCCGATAAAACTTTGTATTGCGAACTCGTTGTGAGCCAAAGAGTTAAACTTTGAGCGGTTAAAGAGACAACCGTTACTGACCAGACAGCCATGCCCAGAGTAGTTAACTTTAGAAAGGTAGAAAACCACATCCCTACTACTACTATATCCACAGAAAAGCCACAGACTCCTTTATTCTATTCCAACTTTTCCGGATTTACGAATCTTGTGTGGACCCAACTTTGTTACCAATAATTAAATAGTTGGACTATTTGACTCAGAAATTTCTTTTACATTTTAATTATATTCTTTTATTCTGTTTTGCCAGTTTCACTAATATAAGATAGTTTCCTCATATCTTCAATTCATATAACAGTGTTTTTTTTTGTGGGGGTAGAAATATAAAGTGGCGGATGGTCCTGAACATCTTGTATATGACTACAATCTATAGATTGTTTCACAAGTATCAAACTGAATGTTTACATGTGTTAGTAACACTATATGTGAAAGTATGTCCTAGTTTTTTATTTCATGAGCAAGCAATATTTCATTTCCAGAATTTATCTTTCCGAAATATTGTGGAACTCATGCTAGATAAAGCTTCTCAGTAAGCTCTGGAATATTATGCTGGTAACTAAAAGATAGAAGACAAACACTTCCTTATTTTTCTAACAGGGCATCTATATTCACATGCCTATATGCTAAAGGCCATGTAATAGTTCAGACGCTTTTAAGTGCTTTTAATGAACAGCACATTTTAAGGATTCCAGAAAATGAATTGTAACTCTCCGAAAGTTATGAAGTTAAGAGTTGAAACGGTTTTAAAACGTAGATTCCTAGTTTTGTCTGTAAAAAAAAATAATTAAAAAAATCTTCGTTTGAAACTAATAATAGTCGATATTACTACAAGAAAAACAGTTTGAAAACTAATAATAGTCGATATTACTACAAGAAAAACAGTTTGAAAACTAATAATAGTCGATATTACTACAAGAAAAACAATTTGAAACTAATAATAGTCGATATTACTACAAGAAAAACAGTTTGAAAACTAATAATAGTCGATATTACTACAAGAAAAACAGTTTGAAAACTAATAATAGTCGATATTGCCACAAGAAAAACAGTTTGAAAACTAATAATAGTCGATATTACTACAAGAAAAACAATTTGAAACTAATAATAGTCTATATTACTACAAGAAAAACAGTAGAGAATGTGAAATTTTATTTTCTCAAACAAAAAACAATCTTACACATTTTAATATTACAAAGTTTGCTGCTGGAAGTGAGAGAAGGACATTTTGGCATCCTAATACGGTTACTATCAAATAACTTTTTGTATCACGGCGTGTGTCAATTTGTCGAACAGAAAATTCTCTAATCATTTAATGGATGAGTATTTAATGTCAGTAAAGTTACTTTTGAAAGCATTTCCCAACTATATTACTACAAATCTCGGCTTTATGAATTGGAAAACATTTAAAATACCCATTTCCCGCTCATATTCAACGTCTTTCTAACCAGTTGGCACATTTCGAGTGAACCAGAAAGAACAGATTCATAACCTTTTATATATTTTCTTATTGGTTCGTTAATATTAAGTTTCCACTCTTGTCTAATACAATAATGTTTGTTTTTTCGATTTTTTTATAGTATTGTTGAAGTATAGGTTAAATGCCAAAGATTGTACATTGATATTTGTTTATACTTCTGGCTTTAAAATGGTGATACTTTAATGAACTTTCGACGAATATCGTTATATATTTTCATGCACATTAAGGTATTTTAATTTTCGCACTGTTATGTTGATTTATGAAAAGTTTCTTTAGCCTTTCGTGTGTTTGCTTTGGTAGTTGCATTAACCTTCGTAGAAACTGTCATTTTTAATTTTAAGCCGATAAATAATTTAGCCGAAAAGTTTCAGCTAACTAAAGAAGTTATAAAAAATATTTCTAGAAACCTTCATTCAGTATGAATTTGACTTTCAGAATAAAGTACTTAATCTTAAATTTGTTTTTTTTTTCACTGTAGTGACGGGGAAGGCTGGTTCTGTGACTGTAAAGAAAATTTTACTGGTATTACATGTGAGCGACGAAGCTGCCCAACCAATCCTTGCCAGTATGGAGGAACCTGTCTTCTTACTGGTCATGACAATGATTTTGTGTGTCTCTGCCCATTTGGTCGTCATGGAAAGATTTGCGACATGAGTACTACTGTTGTCTGATAAAATTTGCTATTAGAGTTTATACTGTACAGACCTAAGCATGTTCTAATACTAGGGGGTGCTTAGAAGCAAATTCGATTTTGTTTTCGATAGGGCAGACATATCAGATTAAATGCAACTGCACTGATGATTGTGTGGGTAACCAGATGCCCTTCTTAACATGTTCTACTTTAGTTAAGTACGCATGTCATCTATCGTTGTAGCTGTAATATTATAATTTCAGTTGAATACAGCTAACTTTAGAGCATCACTTACCTGGAAGTTCTGTCCACGTCTTTAAATCACAAAAAAGCTAGGACTATAGCATGCTGTTTATAACCAATGTCATTTTCGTATGGTTGTGTTATATGTTACCTATGACAGAAACAAGTGGAGAGAAATTGACTTATTAATACACCAGTCCAATTTACTCATATCTATCATATGAAAATGAAAATCCTATTTTTTTTACCGAATACCCATCACTTTCTTACAATAATAATATAACTTCAACGAAACGTTTTAGTTTTTGGTGACACAAAGCTAGTGCATATGAGTGAAACTAGTTTGATTTGAATTTTTCAGAGCTGTTAAAATTACTATCAAGTAAATAACTATTATAAGCCAAGTAAAAAAAAAGGCCAACCTTCGTGAATCTAAGTTGGTGCTCAAACTAATTGAGTGTAAGTTCTTTCCAAGAAAGATCCGCGTTGTCAGGGTTAGTAGCATATACGATCACCTAAACAGATTACTAATTAATTATGTTTTTATTTGTTATAAACTTCGATATACATATTCTTTGAAACAGATACTAGATAAAGGAATAGTACTTATTTGTAGTTATTTTCGTAAATTTCTTTTTTTACGTTTTTTATAGCTATAACTTTGAAGTCCTTGTTTTGAATTTGTATTATACAGTACTGTGTTTTAAGAGGTTTCCTATTATAGTATATAGAATTATTAATAAATTATTTATTTTTAGTAACGTCATATTCGTGGAAGTATTTTCACGGTGACGTGATGGGATATTCTTCCTACTATAAAGTTCCTGGTCCATCCAATATTAAGGAATTCCTCGAAGTTAGATTTCGGTTTACCACATCTTACTTTCAACAGGTGGGCCTACTAATGTTTCTGGGTCAAGATGGTGAGTCAACATAACTGTTATCAAAGTGTAAAAACAATTGGAAATAAAACACTGTTAAGTGATAGAAATAAGGGACTGAGTAGATGATTATTTTAAGGATTGTAATTATTTTTTATTTGAACTTTCGAGGACTTGGAAATAATAAAGAAGATTGGAAATTCCACTATATTTTCAAATGCATTTGTGACTTTCAATGTAATAAGTAAATACTTTTATATAACCATAAAAGGTAATATATTCCGCAAAACATTTAATAATAGTTGGAATTTATAATATTCTACTTATGACGAGGTCAAACCATTATTATAAATTATGTCAGTCTCCTCCCGCAGTTCGTTATGTTGCAAACTAGATATCTGACGATCAGTAATGTGATATGAAATGCAAATGACGACGAATTCAATCAATGCTCATAAATTAACATTTGATAGAGGCGGCTTTAAAGGTTTAAAGCTCATGACAATTCACTTCAAAGTGGAGAATTATCACCAAAAACAGCAAGGGAGCCAACTATTTCATAAAAACAGAACAACCACAAGGTCTGAGACACAGTCAAACACTCCTCTGAAAGAGAAGTTTCCAGGCGATTTCTAGAATCTAGACCAAGAGGATATGATGCATCTCCAGAAACATCCCACATATGTTCAAAGGTATAAACATTTACTGCTCATCCAAGCCACTTCATTTACTAAAATCCTTCTTCTTCAGGAATGTTTTGACCAGTTTAACCCAGTGGAAGCAATCATTATTATCCATTAGGCTCAAGTCAGTATCCATTACTCCAGCATGTCGATGCGCAAAAAGTTAGAGAATATGATTGTTATAATGTTACAGTTACCGCTGTGGTAAAACTAGAGGAAATGGCTAATAATGAAAACCGTAATATGGAAGGTTTGGGAAAACGTGTATGTAAAACAAGAAATAAAATCTGTATTAAACACACTTAAACACATGTTATGGTTAATTAACATTAGCCAGAATCTCTTTCATTAAGGTCTAACTGACTGTTGAGGCAGGAGAGTAATCATAACCGCTTATATTTTTAGGTCAAGGACCCAATGGAATATATCTAGGATACGCCATCAAGCAGTATCTCACAATCCTTGATTACCTAGATTAGTGATTATTTTCACAAGGGTAGACCAACTACAAGGTCATATTAATTTGTACAAACCTTTTCACCCTATCACCTAGGTATGACCCACTCCACAATGGATAGATAACAAGAAAGCTTTGTTAAGCGAGTATAAGTCTGTGAAAGGACCACTGTGGCATGTAATTTTAGTCCAAAGCAAGGATTAAATGATTATTGCTCTTTAGATCCTGTTCGTAAGGTTATTAAATAAGTGCATAAAAATACATAAAAACTTTGAAAAAACATTTGTGATAAAATGTAGTTAAGGATATTGTATTTTCTTAGTTAAAGAATAGAATAATCTAGCAGTTTTCTGTTGCTACATTCCTTCTTTTCTTAGCTTGTGGCTTTCTTAAGTTCAATCGTTTAAAATCAATCTTAAATAGTTACATTTAAGTCTTAACTAACATAACAATGGAATCTATAATTCACCTCTTTAGATGACATGTACGATTTCATGAAACTTGCATATGAATAAACAAAGAAAATCAATAGTCAGCGAGCAAACAAGAAAATACATATTGAATACAAAATTAAAATAAAGCAGAACTAAAAAAAAAGACAAGATAAAATTCGGTATGAGTGATATTAAACAGTTATAAACAGTTGAAATAATCGGAGTTCGTGTTTCGTTCCTTCCTTACATTTTCACAATTGTAAAAACGTAAAGGAAAAAAAAGAATATGATCTTCAGTTGTTGAATATGAGGTGAACTAAGAACATGTAAAACAAGATACAAATCAAAACAAATACCGTAAAATAAGATGAATTAAAATTAAATTTTAGCATAAACTCACCTTAAAATGTGCTACTAGTTAAAAATAAAGTATGAAACTTAATATGAATCAATTTAAAGGTAAAATAATAAGACTTGATAGTAAATTAAGAGAATAGAGATACCATGAAACAGAACTGCAAATAAAATAAAACAAACTGAAGTGTAGCCACGAGCTAATAATAAATTAGGACATTACAATATACTTTAAAGTCTATCAACCTTTGTAGTTAGAATAAACTTAAACAGTACAAAACACACATACATTTATATAGACGAACAAGAAAAGGCTGTTGAGAGATAATGTCGTTCTTTTCCATGTGACTGAGATCTTCTGGAAAGCTTCTTCACCACTCGAACATCTTTTTTTATTATTATTCTCGTGTATCAACTTTTTGTAGGATTGGAAGGTCATCAAATATATCTGTGATGCAAAGTCAATAAGCATCAGTAGTGTTTGACAGACATTATGACTATAAGCCTTAGGAGCTTCTAATGTATGGTTCACATATGTGATTACATGCTCCATGTGTTCTGTATCAGTGACAGTACTGCTTCAGTTTGATTATTACTCCAATCAGTATCCAAGATCAATGAACAGTCTAGAAGAGGATAATAAATACGTGTTCCTCGATCTAAAGCATGCACTAACATACCATTCTCAGGCACTCAGCGACAACTTGCAGCATGTAACTAAAGACCTTTTGAAAGTGTAACATGGTGTGACATTTATTCAGGCCTTCCCATGTACTGAAAACAGCCGTAAGTCTTACTTTGTCATGCATTTCAACACGTCAATAACTAGAAGCCAGATCTAGCATACTAAACCGACAAGTGTCTTTTAACGGCATGTCACTGCCATCTGGGTGAATCCTGCCTTGATAGAAAAATTGTAGCATTGAATTAAATATATTATGCAAAATAAACTTATAGTTGTTCTTTTGTTTCTTTATCTTGTTTTTGTGCCAAAGCTACAGAACAGGCTATCTGTGCTCTGCTCACCGAATGTATCGAAACCCAATTTTTAGCTTTATAAACATTTGAACTTATTGCTGAGTCATCAAGAGGCTGTAGTCATTCTGAGACACTAATATTTTTAAATACCTCTAAGTTACAATTTATTCAAGAAAATGATTTGATTAATTAATTTTATATATAAAAATAAAGCCCCTCTTCAGTGGCTCAGTAGTAAGTGTGAAGGCATATAACGCTAAAAACCGTGTATCGATACCCGTGGTGGGTACAGCCCATTGTGTTGCTTTGTGATTAACAATAAACATGAAAATAAGATAAATCTCAATTTTTGACTTTATGTTGGTTTTAGTACGCTCCAAACAAAAAACCAGTGTTTGTGAATTTCCTGAACATTTTCTGAGCTTAATATAGTACCCAAAGGCTTTTATGATAGAAGCCAAAATCGTTTTCAAGACGACTGAGCCAATTTGGAACTTTTAGCTTCAATATAATTGTAGTTTTATCCAGTCACTGTTTCTGAACCTCAATTTTGATGCGTGATATAATTGACTATATCTCAACATCGAGAAGACAAAGTTCGGTAACAAACACATAGTAAAATCGCCTTTTTTTGTTCATTTTAACTGTATATGCCAGTTAGGCTTCCAGTTCAGTAGAAACTCGTATAGTGATTGGAACAAAGTAATTAAAGTTTAGCTTGGTTGCATTTGAAAGTTGACAAATCTAGATGTGTTATCATATTCATCTGCCTAACATCCATACCCCAGCTTGTTGTCCCTTTCCGGCTTCATAATCACTAATATAGTTACAAAAAGCATTCTCTAATGGTTATATTATACCATCTTTCAACATTTACTTAATTTCAACATTAGCACATCCTTAGTACTCTTAGAAAGCCTGCATGGTCCATATCTGTGAGATGACGAGTTATTGTTACACTACATACTCCTACAAACAAATGATTAAGTTCTATAAACAAATTACTATTGAGATCACATTGGTAGCACATCAAACAGTGGCATCAGATGTTCTGGAAGATATGTATTTACTTTTAGATGCAATGTAGCTCTAGCAATGCCAGCTACATGACTGGTCTGCATCACATCTACTTCTATCATTGTGCCAATGACCATTTCAGCTTGAAGTTGAATAGCCAAATTCCATAATTAACACTAGTACAACACCAGCACTCAGACAGGCGACTTCTCGGGAAGTATATCCTGACTTTTGGACAGAAAACATTATGTTTTGTGCAATAGTTCTATCAATACATCAGGCATTTAATGAGTTGTATTTTAATCACATCATAGAACACGTATTACATGTTTGAAGACATTACAGTGTCTTCCTCAACAACCTGTCTCATGATAAGTATGAACCATTTCATATCCACAGTTAAAACAGGTGCTTCAATACTATGCCTTAGACAGCTTCTTGGAGGCTTTTTCTATTGTAGTAATAGTACATTTATGGCAAATGGCTGTGAAAAGCTTCGTTTACCCATGAAGACCTGTTGAGAGCTCATTATGGTATCCAGTCTCTATCACAATGAAACTGTTGGTAAACATTTCTTTTAAACCATGGTGGTCATTGTCGATCTGAAACTGTTCATGAGCAGAATCAGTCACAGAACTTGCTTCTGGCTATGATTATAAAAGGAAATCATCTCTGACCCCAAAGACATCGCAATAAAATTTAGCATATATTCTGCTTTCATTTTCAAGACAATAAATAAGTATTTGAAGATAAGAAAAGCTCAAAAGGCGAAAATTCACAAACTTCCAACTAAATCCGGAAATCACGAGAAAGATGGCTTAAAAAACTGGAATCATAGCAACATAATTCATTCATATACTTGTTACACCCGGGTCTCAACTGTTGATTTTTAACGTGGTTGAACTTGTCAATGCCGATTTGTGAACAATTTTTCAATGCGATTTTGCGGTCTCACCTATTGATTCTTGTCACGTCAGTTTAAAAGATTAAACAAAATGATAGAAAGTATGATGGAAGATAAACAAAATATTTCTTAACATTGAAAATGCAAATTCGAAGCAGATATTGTTATCTATAACCTTCCGAAAGAAGCGGAAAACACTAACAGATGCCTGAAGTCATGTTAGATGAGGTCATGGATCATCAAGGAAGCGCAGTATAGGCTTATAAACTATTGTTTGTCCGTATAAGTTTCATTTCCAAACTTCACCTAGGAAACTATGATTTAATAATTTTGAAAGTAGGCCTACGTCTGGTTAGCTTTACCTACATTTAACTTACCTGTTGTGTTGAACTCAGCAGCCAATTCCTCATGGACAGTCTTCCGCCTATTCGTATCACTATAAACCGAATTATCACTCTTTTTGTTGACAGCTGTCAATGAACTTGGATACGTCAGTTCCGTTCTGTGAATGCTACTTTTCTTGCTCGTAGTCACCATTTTGAAATTGAAGTAGAAATTCTGGTTACTCAGTGCCAACCTACACGTCATAGGAATAACATTATTCATTGGTTGAAACAGAAACGACTCATCGGAGAAGTCATTCAGAATTTAATATAGCTCTATTTTGTGCGACTTGAAGACTTTTAAAATCAAATTACTTCAGGAGTCGTTTCTTTTGTCTCATTCAACAACACGTGAAAGTAATTTAAAGCTTTGTTGAATCGCAAGGAAAATCGACATGACCTAGCTATAAGTTCTCAGTGCAGCTTCAGTGCATTTTTATGCCTTTGATTTGCTTAAATATATCTTATAAATTGACATCCACATAGAGTAGAAGGTTGATGTAAAGTTTGTCAGGATATGTGGACTAAGACTGACGTAATAAATAACGAAGGAAATAATTTAGTTACAAGACTTTGTGACTTGGAATATTGTTATTATATTGTGCATACCAAGTATACCTTTATGTAAGATTTACTCTTCTAATATAACCTGTCCAGTTATCCATTGAAACACTATTTGCAGGGATTTACTAGTTTATTATAATTTTAATCGTTATGATATGTTATCCATCTTGATAAATGTGGTTCTTGTAAACTTTTATATATCAAAGGTACAGAGTTAATGTTACAGTGAATTGTGAGTAACACAGAATTAATATTGACAGTTTAGTTTTAGATATAGCATTTTGTTGTGTCATGATAATCAAATATGGAAAATTAACATTTGATACTTTAGATAGTGACCAGGATCCAATGGAAGATTTTATAGCTGTTGGCTTAATAGATGGATATGTGGTTTATCAGTTCAACCTTGGATCAGGTAAGCATTAAATAAGCATTTTTTTAACATATAGAGCCTGTTCTTTTTATTTACAAGAACTTATGTATTTCATTATGATACGTACATTTTCAAAAACTTTAGTGGTCAGATGTGTTTAATATGTTTTTGTTTTTTTAGAACATATATATAGATTTTAAATTAAATCTGTTTTCTTCTAGCCTAACATCAACCGTTTTTTTTTTTTGTTGTTGTTGTTGTACTTGAAAAAGTATACTTTTATAACGCGCAACAGGCCAACAAGTTAATTACATTATAAGAAAATAGTAAGTAGTTATGATTAAGGATCCATACCAGGTACCTATTACTGTTATTTAATGTCTTTGAATTTTGTTGTTAGATAGACAACCATATTCCAGTATGGACATTATAAGAAGTTTTATATAAAAAGAGGAATTATATTATCAATCCAATAAATGGATAAAAAAATAAATAAATTTGATAATTCACACAAATTTCACAAAACCAGTAGATTATATAAAATGTCTTCATCAAGTCACTTATGATGTGCATACTTTAATTCCCTTTGTATATATAGCAAGTTCAGCCTGCATAGGCAGTATATCACGAAGTAATAATGTTACTTAAAAATAATTAATGATAATGTTTGAGTAATTATTCTGCATATTCTGTAAAATTCAAAGATAATGACCAACTTTAATTAAATAGTTATATGAAAGCAATTGTACTGTCATTAAAGTAAAAGATGCTGAGCATAGCTCATTAATTAGTGTACTAGGCTATGGATCTGAGGTTCTGCAGTTGGCATCTCGTTGTTACCAAAAACAAAATCACGCTCCACACTTTAGGACTGTGGGTGCATTATAGGAGTTATAGTCAAGTCCCACTATTTAATTAGAGTAATCATCGAGTTTAGATAAGTGCTGTTTATCTAGGCTATCACTTTAAAATTAAGAATGGCTAGCACAGATAGTCCTCTATTACTTTTGCACGAAAGTAAACCACAACCAACAACAATTAAAGTAAAGGAACTTTCAAAGTTCACTGAAGTAATTTTTAAATTACTCCTACTGTACTTTTTATTAGGGCACTATTTATTTACATATGTAAAATCGCTTAATCAAATGATTACTTGAGCCCTATAAATACAAAAATGTAGTCATATCATGATTAGCCTCCAAGATATAGGATAGAACAAGATGGAAATTTTAAATAAGGAAGAGTAGTATATGTATGTGTGTGCCCATCCAGTAAATGTGTCATCATAAAAGATAATTTTCTTTACCAGCTTTTCAAAGACATTTGTTACCAGGATTTATCAACAATAATAATCCAAAATAATATATGTTCACCACTAGGAAAAAGTGTCTAATTAGTTATGTCTGATTCAGTGAAAAGAGAATTTTATAGGCTTATAGTTTAAATGAGCAATTCCATTTAAGGTAATAAGGATTTCACTATCTCTGATCTTAACATGAGAAAGACGTTATAAAAACTGTCATGACAGCCAACCACAAGTCCAAAAGCTGCCTACCTTACATGCAAATAGAAATCATGGCTTAATGTGCAAACATGGGGCAGTGAATAACTGAAAACATGTGATAGAGTTTGATGAATCATACTTCACCACCTTCCTGTGCTAATCCCAGAGCTTGACTTGCTCAGTTCTACAGAGTTATTTGTAATCTATTGGTGATTGCGTAAATCCTCTTGACAGGAGCTGTACTCTTTGATTTCGCTAGAAAGGTAAATAATATCTGGAATGTACCTAAAATGGTTGCCAGTCATGTCTATCCAGCAATCCGGCATTTCCACTTGTGAAAAATGAACTAAAATAAAATAAAACCCTTTCTGGCATGTTGTGGAGTTTGTGTGACGCCGCTGAGTGTACGCTACTATCAAAGCAAAAAGGGATGCAACTCGATATCAGTAAATCAAACTGGTGTATTTACGTGTTTTATACTCATCAAAAAGAAACCTATCATTCTATAGGTATTTGAAGAACTTGTAGCAATCCGCCACAATTTAATTCTTCGTATTGTTATCTGACACTGGGCAGCTTGAACATAATTGAATAAGTAGAGTTGTTTAAGCATTTGTTTAACAACAAGTTAAAGCTTGGAATGGTCTATTCTTTCATTGGGGTGTGTCTATGAGGCAGACTCGATACCAGTAGTCTTAATAAAGTGGAAAACCCATGTACCAAACTGCAATAACACTAAAAATAGAAACTTATTATCTTGCACATGATTCAGTTTGTTTACACTCAGCCAATAAAAATGAAGTACTTGTATACGATGACAAGAGGAGACTACAAAACTGTACTAGTTGTTGCCGAATTACAGATAGAAAGGTTTAAAAGCTGTGATCTGATAGCCACGTAAATCCTGAGATAGCAAGATGAACTTCACAGTTTTAATAACATAGAGAAACAACTATATGTCAGCATTAAAAATGGACGTAAAAGATTTTAATGGTACAAGAATAAGTGTTTAAGCTTTACAACCTCTCATTCCACTATTGTTGATGTTCTGTATAATAACAATGATTTTGGTCTATTGACATGTGGTATAAATTCTACTGCAGGAGACATTGAAATTAATGCTGTCACCTCCTCTTTTCATGTTTTCCAAAACTCATCAAATGGATGACAGCTTCTGTGCAACCTTTAGGCACAGAAGTCCATGAAAGACATCTGTGAATTGTATATTATATACTGTTGTTTGTGCAAGTTTCTTTCAGGGGAATAATATATTTTCTTGATGGAACCATGTGTTATTACCATTCAGTCTCAACAAATATAGTATTTTCTTGTGGTATAATGCTGTCAGTAAGTTAGCTTGATAGTATGCATTTTACTTTACATTCTGCATGTTTAACTAATTAACTTACTATTATAACTTGAAACTGTAACTACCGGGAATGCTCTGTACCATTTTTTAAATGTTCTTTCACTATTATGACGGTAATAAATTGCTTGAACCTTTGCAGACGTTTAAGTATATATATGCTTCATTTAATGTTAGTGTACACTTTCACTTAGGTACTACTTATACAGCTTTTGATAACTGGTCTTCTGTTCTACTTGAAAGAAGCTAAACATGCTTTTTGCGTTACTTTTTTAGACATACTTACGCGTATATTATTTTTTACACTTCCAAGGGAGATTTCTGTTTTAACTGTAATATATCATTGTGTTATTTGGTAACTTCATGTACAAATAGTTGTGTACATTTTCTCACTGTCTCTGTTATGCGACTTGTAGCTAATTGTAGAGTAGCTTATTTTTGTTTCTTCTAAAATCACTCCTTTCATGTTTTTTTTTCCATGTTTGGTTTAGTTTGCTTTGAATAGTAATGAATTTGTTCGTCGCATGCTTTTGTAAGCACGGTATAGGAGAACTTTGCACAGGAAATGTAGCTCTTTCAGAAATGGTCACATTTTGGCACCATTTTTACTTGCAAATCACCAAAATACAACTGAAATGCAGTAGGCCAGGGCTTTTAATTTGTGCAATTACAGGCCACAAGGATGGATAGATGGATATGTAAGTTGTTCCCATAGATCATATAAAATGATCGGATATCATGCAGTGTAATTTTTGTTTGTTTGTTACTAAGTATAAAAATACACAGTGGGCTATCTGTGCTATGCCTACTGCAAGTATCGAAAACAAATGTTTAAAGTTATAAGTGTACTATAATTTTAATAACTTTTTGTGCTAAAATAAAAATTATCAATGATTTGTAAGAAACATGCAATTTTCAGATTCGTGGGTTGTATGATGTTTACATGGAGAAAGAAAATGGTTTTTCCTTTATGATTAATATGAAAATGAGACATGTATAACCCCATTATAAAAATGAATAGTATACTAAATGTAAGAAGAAAACCAACTTAAATTGATCAAACCAGAAATTTCTTATATGTATTCCATATAGGTACTCGAGAGCTACGATCACTTCAACCAATAAATGCCAGTAAGTCATCCCACACTGTTAATTATGGGAGATACAAACGATATGGTTGGATAGTATTAGACTCTCAGCAAAAAGTTGGAGGTTTTGCTCCTGGACACTTAACAGCTTTGGATGTGGCTTCAGACCTATATATTGGAGGTCACATTAGCCAGGATCTAATCTTACTGCCTGTTGGTGCAAGACAGTTTAGAGGTTTTCAAGGTTTGTGCAAATATGTTACTGTCAAGTATGTCAGTTGTTTGAGAAATTTATTAAACTATAAATTAAAATTGAATCTACTTAAATGACTATAGTACATCAGAAACAACATATATAATGGTCCTACTGAACTGTAATAGGGTGACAATCAAAGTAGTTCACACATACTGTTTTTAAATAAAAGCATCAAGAATGTTATAGGAAACTTCCCACAGTGGTCAGATTGTGTGTATTTGAGACAAGTAAGTTATTGCTTTAGGACAAGTTTTAGTTATTAATATATAATTAAATTACTCTAGGGACAGCTTGTATTTACACGATTAAGTAACATCACTACACCCTACATTGAAATATATATATGTATTCATCCTTTTATGATGCTCTTTACGTAATCACTCTAATTAGAAAATTTCTAAGAATTGTAATTATTAATTTGACAACTTAAAATATTATATAACATATTTTTCATATTAGCTTCTAATGTTGTAATTAACGCCAACCTTGCTAGTTAGTCCAACGTTAACTAAGACATTACAATGTAGATTAATACTTGTGTTCCCATATAGTTAAAATAAAAACAAACATTAATATTAAAGCACTGTGGTATGTATTATCAGGTGAAACTGATATTTGCATGAATATCAGAGAGGTGCACTTTATAATGGGAAGATTGATCAAGAAAATTACAAGGTAAATCTGGATTTAGCTAAACGACTAGGATTTAAGTTAAGAAAATTAACAGATTGAACACATGATGTAACGTGTAAAACAACCTTTATTATTATCTAACGCACAAAATACAGTCTGTGTACCTTGATAGACTTTTTTTTTAATTGTCACTTCTTACAATGTCTGTGAATCAGAAAACAGTTGTTGTCTCTTAGAATGTCTTTCTATTGACTGGCTCATTTTGAAAACCATGTATAACTGTGTGAATCGTAGATTTGCTTTCCACAATGTGCAAAGTTGAAGCAATACCCCATAGGTAGTGTAGGTATTATTTACTGGAGAACAACAAAATAACGAAAATAACTCAAAGGTTTAATGAAACATGTGATCATGTGAAAATTGCTTAGAATCAGACTACATAAATAATTTCTTCATTAAATAATAAAAAGTTAGAAAACTCATGGTATGCATGTATACCATTCCTGTCCTTCTTCCTCTGTTTCAGGCTTGTACTCAAGCCAGCAGTTAAATTTAATTTTAGAAACCAGTTAATCTTAAACTCATGGCATGGCCAAGAAGCATGTCAACTTTACCTCATTCTTACGATTACAAGCCACGTGGATGAAACAGCCCCTAAATAAAATAACTACATTTAAATACAACAAAATTAACCACAATGTAATGGAATACATAAAGAAAGAAAAACTTTTAATAATTCAGTGCCATAATTAAAGCGTAATACAATACAAAAAATCTTTAGTTACAATTTACAAATATACTATAATATAGATAATGATATAAACAGTGGTTGTTAGGGTACTCAACTTTCAATCTGTGGGTTTCAAGATTGAACTCTGTTACCAAAAATGCTCGATTTTGAAGGATATGTTAGCAGTTGTGTCTCCACTGCCAGACCCAGGCAGCTGAATGTATGAGGAACGTATTGTCAGGGTCATAAAGAAGAAGATCAATCTGGGGTAGCCTGAGAGTAAGGAAAAGCTGTATAAGGTGAAGAATGATCTATCCAGGGCCAAGAAAAATCTCTATAAAACATTGGTGGAAGGCTGTTAATTATTAGTGGCCATGAATAATGTTCTGTCATTTACAGAGAATAAGTAAATTATATAAAAACGATTTTGCAGCCTTAGCATGTTGTTACAATCTGTGTCACAACGTCTGGCCATATTCTTTCAGATGATTATAGATTTTGATAATAGCCCTTCTACATAGTATCCATTGCAAATTATATTACTCTGTCTAAAGATTGTCATGAGCAAAGCACACCACTGTTCCTCGCGTGCTTTCCATGAACAATCTACTCTCGAAGAATGATTGTTTCCCAAGTGCACAGAAATCAATAGGTTTGCATCTAGCAAATTGACCAGTATGTCTTGTATGGAATAGCATAGATAATCATTTCATTATCCAGCTGATTGTGATATGTGATGGCTGAATGTGAGGTACGCCTGGAAGCCTTATCATGGTGAACCTATACCTATATAATTTCCAGGTAGAAGTCCTTCTTGATTATGATGTCTACTGTTGCCAAGGGCACGTGGATGACTCTTGCCACTGATCTTTGTGTTAGTATATTTTTATCAGTTTCAGGATGTTGCAGTTTTGCTTATTACAGCTAGAGTATTACTTATTGTAGGACTCTATATGTGGATGGTGCTACTGCCCCATATGATCCCCATGCTTCTGCTTTTCATTGTCATTAAGTACAAGGGATAATCCGAGCTTATACATTCTAAATTCTCAATTTGTATGATCTTTATGATCTAAGTGTATGAATATTTTCCATTGGAAATGACTGTAACATGTCCTTCCCGAAAGCAATCAAGTTGCAGTGGCTTAAATCTACCGTCTCTGACTATATACTATCCTATTTCCCATCTTTTGCTTTTCCCTAACTACACTATATGGTACTCCGTTTTCTTTGAATGTTGATATAGTCTTTCTATGGTTGCTGCTTTCACCTTACTGAGGAGTCAATATCCTGCCAGAAAAGTTTTAATGAATTTGATATTGAGGGTTTCCCAGCAAGCTTGTCAGCTTCTTCGTTTAGCTTTATTTACCTGTGCATGGCCTGACACATACCTTCAAGTAATGTTCTCACTATGTAGTTGCTTTGCTTGCTGCCATCCGTCTGGGGATCCTTAACTCAGAATTTTACACAGTACTGCTTGTGAGTCTGTTACAAATATTATTGTATTTTGTTGCTTTCATCGATCCAGAAAAGAGCTTCCTACAAACAGTGCAAGGATGGAACTGCCATAAAGCTCCATCATTGTTATGCAGAATGTTGTTATTCCATATGATTATGAATTTCTAACTAGCTCTTACAGTACGTTTAGTGACTGTCCATAATGGTCTTTAAATAGGTGCTGACAGTTCTTTTTTGATTCACACTCTACCCAGGCTTACAGTTTCCGTCTGTGATTACAGACAAATTCTACAGATCCTAGTGGTTATCCCAGAATTTTATTAAATATGGGAAAACTTGAAATCTGATGGTGACAAATTATCTCAGTGTCGTGACTGTATAGCATCTGTTAACCCATGAGTGTTTCCTGAGGCACCTTTTAGGAAATTCCCTGCTTGTTTGGTGTTTTCAGGGTCATTTTGAAGATGGAATGTCTCAATTGGAAAGAATAGTGACTCCAGAATAAAATGAGTGGTCTTTACACTTCAAGACGTTAGTGATTTAGTGGTTACAGTGCTTAAATAGCAATATATTGGATTGAAACCCACAACCAAACATGCTCGCTCTTTTAGTCATAAGGGTATTATACTTTTATGGTCATTCCCACTGTTTTTGGTCAAATAGTAGCCCAGCAGTTTGTGGTGAAGGCTGCCTTCCCTCTGATTAGCGGTTAAAAATCAGTACCCTTTGGGGCTCTGCTGTAAACAAAGAAAAGAAGCAAGGCCTTAGTGATGAATTTTAGTTGTAAGTGTGGTTAGCCTCTGCAATGATACTGAAGCTTGTGGGGTATAATGGGGCTTTGATGGGGAGCTGAAATATATCCAGCCTTAAAACGGGTGTTTTGTATCTTCTCACTACTATCTAGCCGTGTAGCATTTATACTGATAATTTCTTGTGCATAATCCAGGATATAGTAGATTAAACTTTGGTAGAGCATAAACAGGTGATTTTGTTGCAGCTTTCTGTGCATCAATGTCTTTGATAGTTCTAGTTTTTTGCAAAGCAGAGAAGTCTGGGCTCACAAAACCAAGATGTTTGTGGATATCATATGCTGGTGTGTTTCTCAATGGGTACTGTGGTTGGGCCACTAAGAATGAGACAAGATACAGTTTTATACAAGGAACAAATATTTAATGGAGATCTGCACACTTTACAATGTAAAGAACAATGTACTATCTTACAATATAAGGCAAGTGATTGTGTGTTTCTATGTGTGATCAAAAAAAGGTGTGGAACTATCAAAGGTGATGAAGACTTTGTTAAACAATGTGCTCTTTCTATTGTATGTTCTTCCTCCTGTATCATGAGTTAGCATATAAAAGAAAATCACTGAAAGAAAGTGTTTCCAAATTGAATTGTGACACAATAAAGCTAACCCTCACTTTGGTTTCTCCAAATAACAGTAATAAGTCATACTTTAAATATAAACATATGTTATTAAATTAGTTGGCCAACTGGCAGTGATGATCATGGACAAGCTCACCTGCGACTACTGCCAGATTCGCTAACCAAAATAACTCGGCATGCTAATTAAAAAGCATTATTCCTGCATGATCCTTGAGGTAAAGTGTTGATTGTGATCCATCCTTATTTCCACTTCTCATGCTTTGTGATGCATTTTCAGGTTGTTAGTGCAGTTACAAACCATCTTACAAAAGCTATTCTGAGAATTTTGTTAGTAAGAATGAGTATCTGGACCATACTTTATGCACTTTGCAAATCTAAAGCTAGTGCCAAGGTTTCTGACCAGTCTCAAACCCTTCTCATGTATCAGCTTCAAATTCAGTAGCATTGATTCAGATTTAATGATGATGGTAGTAGTGGGTTCAGTCTGATAGGCAAGCCTTCTCTGGAATCTTGCCAATAATGTTCTGTAGGATGATGATTCAATGGCCTTTAATATGCGATTTATCCTTCATGGATTATGGTGAAGATTTAATAAAGGCATCAGTCTATATTTTAGGGATAATACCTGTTGCACAGCTGCATTGATATTCCAACACTAACTTCAACAGGTTAGCTTCTGTAAGCTTCTTAAAGAGGTAGAGATTCTTACACCCTGGAGCTTCATATTTACATGTACATATACATAACTCTATGTATCTCATTCAAGCTAAAGATATGCACATGTAGTTGTAGTCCAGGTAGGGATTGCTATGGCCTGTTTTTTTTTTTGCATCTCACTATGGTAACATTCGTTAACGTATTTGCTCACGAAGGCCTTCCCTTGGTCTTCAGCTACATGGAGTGCGGCTACTGTCATCATCGTCTGTGACTGACATTACCATATTTTTGGTTCTTAGGACATCCATAAACTTGTGGATGCACCATATTGAAGTTTTTGTGAGATTGGCCTCGCTGATTAGTTCATTTCGTGTCATATGCTTAGGAAGTTGATAGCCTGTAAAGAGCATAGACTCTATTTTGCGTAACCCTTAGCTCTGCTGCCTCTGCTGGTTCATGCCTCATCTGTATCACTTATACACTAGTTGAATATTGAAACATATTATGAATGACTGCACTTCCATAGGCGTTATGTTGGTATGTTACTGTATAATTTGTTCATTGATCACCAATGACAGTGTAGACTATTAGCACACGACTCTGTGCACTCTGGTGCAGATAAGTACCGTGGTTACTAAGATGACTCCTAGATAGATTTAGATTAATTAACAAAGCATTCAAAGATTATCTGCACTTTCCTACTAGTATGACTTGTGTTGGGCTGAACAACTACATAATATTTTATCATTATGTTGTTGTTTGAAGAAAAACGTAGAAGATACCTAAACTATTATATGTCGTATATTAACGTTTTTCAGGGTCCAGATGAATAAATAATAAATATACCTTGCAATATTTCACAGGTTGTATATTTGACATAGAATATCGAAACAAGCCTGGTGTCATGTTTAAACATTTGAACCACGTGACTTCTGGGCGTAATATTCAGCGATGTAACTACTCTGAGTGTGATGTGGCACCTTGTCATAATGGAGGAACTTGTGTAGACCTTGGTTCTACCTTCAAGTTAGTGATTATAATAAATTTCACTGATAGACTAAATATTGTGGTGTTTTCCAAATATCTACTATTGTTTGCTTTTATAAACAAGACAATAATATTTTTCATTTTGGCACTCTGTCAAATATTTATAATTAACTTGTGAAGAGTGAAAACGGGAATAATATCAATAGATGTTTTCATAAATTTAAATATAATATTCTTATATGAGTTCTGTCTAATAATACGTCTTTAGTTATAAAGGTATATATGCTTATATTTACATGTACAAGTAATGTTATTTCCATATTGTTTTGTACATTATACAAACTGTAAAACATAACTTTTCATACTGATCTCAAAATCGATAAAATGGATAAAAGATCTAACCTCAAGAGAAAATGTTATTTCTTTAGAATATTTTAAAAATATGTACAGTCATTGCACTTCACATTAATAAACACCAATACAAACGCAGAGTTTTCGACTGATGGACCTGTCTTTTACAGTCATTTGGATACTTCTGAAAAAAACAGGTTCCATCTATCAAAAGCTGTAGCCTTTTTCTTTATTTGTGATTTATGAACTTTTTGATCCCATGCGTGTTTTATTAACATGATACAGGCACCACACAAATATCTTTAGCAATATGCATATATATATTTTGAGATCGTAGCTTAGGTAACATATTCTGAAAGTTAGGCAATTTTATATAAAAATATTTCTTAATAGATGTGAGTGTTCAAGCGATTGGACAGGACCGTTATGTTCAAACCGTACGACACCATGTAGTGGTGAAAACAAATGTGCTTTAGGCGCAGTGTGTGTTTTGCTTGAATCGGGATATCGCTGTGACTGCCCTCTAGGTAGAAATGGAATATATTGTGACAAATGTAAGTAAACAACGAAAGTCGTAAAACAAATATTAATTAGTTTGATCCAAAACTCTGAAACGTTGTGTAGTTGTTTTTCGGCAATGTGTCATTCAAAGTAACTATTAAACCAGAAAGACAGTTTAGAATACATATCGTGGTATATAACAGTTTGCTTATAAGTACTAACATGAAAATGGAGCTAAACCCAAATTTAGGGTGAAGTTAAGAGTAGAGCCTATAACTACACATAAAATATTTACATTGACAAATAACAATAGGCTCCAACTAATTAAAACTGTATATTATAAATAAATAGTCATAACAGTCCAAGAATAATAATTTACAATGAGATTTGCAGAAAAATTATGAACATCATATTTTAATTAGACTGGAAGCGTGAAATGTTTTGAATTAATCATAAAAATTAACAGAAAACTGAACAAAAATGTTTTCAATGGATACTTATTACAATTTTTGTGGACATAAGTATCAGTACAATAAAAAACACAAAAAATGCTATTAGAACGAGATGAGAAAGCCAACAATAGTATTGAAGAATAAAGAAAGACACACATGCATTTCTGCTTAATATATGCAGCTATATGTAATTTGCTGACTATTGCTATATGAAATGGAGGCTGTGATCGTTACTGACCTTAGTCGAGATGTTCAAGTGGAAAGGACAATTTTCATTCGCTAAAGATATGTTACCAGGCAGAGCGAGCGTGGCCCAGTGGTTAGCGTGCCGGATCTAAGGTTCTCTGATTTGCGCCGTTACCGCTGTGGGGAAAACAAAACTCGCACTCTGGAGCAATGGGTGCTTCATAAAGAGTGACGGTCAAATCTTACTATTCGATTAAAGTAGCCTTCCCTCTAATCTATTACTCCAAAATTAGGGGCGGTTAGTGCAGATACCCTTCGATGTGCGAAATTTTACATACAACAATTTTACCACATATTTTTACCTATATTCTGCCGACATAGTTGCTCACGAGATTTAAAAGCTACCCTGTGGCAGAACAGACATAATCTTGAGCTGAGCACATCTAATGTTTTCTGTGTCGATATTTTGCCCTTACTGTTGAAAATATTGTTATCTACCTTTACTATATATGAATGAAACACACGCATAAGCTATATGCATAAATTTTATGTAATTGATTTTTCACCCAATCAGATCAAATTTCATAGCAGGTATTTGATTACGGAGACTTTCTTAAAAACAAAATGTAATACTACTCACAAAGTAGCTCAGCGGTAAGTTTGAGGGCTTATAATGCTAACTTTCATGGCTCGATACCCGCAGTGGGTACAGCACAGATCGCTCATTTGTAGTTTTGTGCTTACTAACAAATAAAAATTATAGGAATTTTAATTGAATTTTATGTGGTTATTCTGCCTACACAAAAAGCAGATAAAAATGATGTTTTCAAAACATATGTAACGAAGAGCTCTGAATTTTAAAAAAATAACAGGGTTGAAAGAACATTTTTGGCATTCTCTTCACATTCAAACCTGCAATCATTGTTTTGCACGAATCTCTTGTTTTCTTAGTTAGAGCTAATAAATAATATCTAAATGATGTAGCAGGTTTATCCTGATTAAAACAGCTGTTAAGTGATGCACCAGAGCACGTTTCTCATTATTCTTCGACCGAGAAAAAGTACCTGTGAAAATGGTGCCAGGCGTGGTTTATTGCTTAGTATGCCTGGGCCATTAGAACGTATATTATACCTATAGCAGAGAATCATTAAGAATACATATTTTAGTTTAGTTATAAGTGCAGCATATTTTTACATGCATTTAGATTTATTGAACTAGTTGTACTTATTTTCTTTCTATACAGTCAAAAATAAGTTTATCCTTAGTTTTAATTTTGGACTTTGCCTGTACCATGTCATCACCTGTAACTTTAAAACAAAGTCTAAAGTGAAATGCGTGATCGGTGTGTTATATTATTTTTGTCACAAGATTGGATCAAAATTGGACAAAATTCATGATAAAATACAAATGTGTTGCAGTATCTAAACTTGGAATACAATGTAAAAGGGAGCCTAAATGCCACATAACAGTGAACTTATAGACTTCATATTTGAGCATTAGAACTAACTAAATTACTGTCGCACACGTTATATATATATGTGTTACAGAAATATTAAAGAAAAACACACCTACTATCAGTAAGTTTATTTCCACCATGTTAACTTGTGTATTTCATGGTTCACTGTTACGTCGAGCTGGCACAAGTACAAATTTAAATCAAAATTCCACGAAGAAAGGAGCTCGCAGACTTCCAAAGCGGAATAATTATGAAGGTATGAGAGTATAAAACACTCCAGATCCTCTGGAGTAATGAAATGTGCAACACTCCATATCGTCTGGAGTAATGAAATGTGCGTAATATACTAAAGAAATGGAAGACGATTGGCATGCTCATCTATCTAAAGTTAATTACTTGTTTCTTGAGGCAAACTTTGAAAGTATTGTGTAGCGAAACCGCACAGATCACCCAGAGCTTGAATAAAAGTTCGAAACTGCAGGTCAACAAATCCAGAGTCCACAGGGATCTCCGGTCATAGTGACCACTTCTATATATATATATTGCATAAGTTCTAGCACAACGTGGCTTCGGATTTGTATGAAAGAATATGAAAATGTAAAGACAGAAAAATGTAAAGTTTGTTCGAACATACCTTAGGTTATTTATGCAAATATCTATTATATATTAGCCTTAGTATGAAATAGCCTGTCCTTTAATATCCTGAAGTTAAAGCTAGTCATAACAGTTCTTCTCTGTATTTGTGTCCTAAAATTAAAAGTACTGAAACCATATCCTAATTTAATTTACAGTATTATCCATCAGTGATCCAAGTTTCAATGGCGAGAACTCTTACATGTCGTTCGAACCAGTAAATATTCGCAAACAGATGCGTCTCAGGGTAGACTTTAAGTCAAAATCAACAGACGGACTCCTATTTTATGCAGCTCAGCGACTTTCAGAAACACCAGGAGATTTTATATCAGTTTCACTACATAACCGTCAAATTGAACTAAGGTACAACTTAGGAACTGGAACAGGCACATCATTATTCTTGAAGAGTCCCAAGAAAATAGAACTGAGTAAGATATCAGATAGTTGTAACTATCAAAATCAATCATAATATAACAAACAGTGTTCTAAATGAGGTTTTATTTTTTGATATACTTTGAAATTATATGCCACGTGCGGTAAGAAAAAAGTACCCCAAAATATATTTTATTCGTATAATAAGTAAATAAAAAAATCTTCATTCTATATTCAAATTTATAGTTACTTTACAAAAATCAAAATTTTGAGCTCTAGCAAATAATTTAATAGCAGAACTTACACAGTCTCCTATAATACAGTTTATTAGCCCATCAGTAACCATTTAGTAAAGATAAAGCTGAAGAAAAATTAATTTCGTGTCTATTACAAAAATCATCACTTTTAATAGTAGGGATTTTTTTACTGTACAACATTATTCAAATATTGTGAAATTTTCTAGATCAGTGGTATTCGCTTGAAGTTGGTCGTCATGAAAGAAAAGGATACATTAAAGTAAATGGATCAGAAATAACTGGAGTATCCCCCCGTGGGATGGTAGCATTGGACTTTTCCTCGGAATTTTTCTTAGGTGGGTATATAATTTTAGTATGTTTCGTAACCCCTTAGTTAAGATATATCATTTAAAAACATTCTATACCAACTGAGTATGTTTCTTAATATAGGAATTCTGTTAAGAAAACAATTATGTTCTTCTCGTTCCATTTACTCAGGAAAATGGGTCAGTCAAGTAGGAAATCTTGTTGTCTTATAGCGCATACTATATAGAAAGCGACAGTGATTTTTTTTATTAAGAAGTCAATAATTCCCCAAGGATATGACATCCCATGTTTATTAGTTTAATTACTATCAATCACGTGGGTAATGCCCGCACACTGAGAAGAATGGCAGTGTTGTTTTTCGTTTGTTTGTTTGAAGTTAAGCACGAAGCCACACAAAGGGCTAGCTGTGCTTTGCCCATCACGAATATCGAAACCAGATTTCTAGCGTTATAAGTCCGCAGACATATCGCTGTGCCACTGGGAGGTTTGTTTTTCGTATATAATGCTAAGTTGTTTTTTTCAGTCTGGAATATGATTTAAAGGAAGAGATGATTATATTTTAATAGAGAGTGATTTGACGGTATTTGAGTTTTTCATTAAAGTCGACAAAACGATACACTTGTTTTTGCCTTTGATTTTTTTAAGTGTTTGAGATAAAGATTGTTTCATTGAGCTCAAACGTGAGTAGTTAGGGCGAGACTTCAGACGAACCACTAGAGGGCGCTACACACGTGTCGACCTCGGGGAGGGATGGAAGAAGGGAGACAATGATATCACTAACGACGATGACGTCATATTTCTACAAAGTGTCACTAGAGGGCGCGTTGCTAGGCCGCCATGACAGGCGGCCATGACGTCAGAGACAATGATGTACACGTCAAGTATCTTAATATGAGTATAATTACTAATTCATTAGTTCTATACATTTCCTGATCATTTATATTTAAATCGTCCTGAAAAAGCATGTTTATTTAAATATCATACAATAATTAAAACTTACTTTAACTTACTTTAATTATAAATCAAATGATTATTTCAATATTTCTTTTTCACAATATATTGATTTTCTCACAATAAAGATTTTGCAATCTTATCTACATAAAAAAAAGACACGTCTATTAAGGATGTACTTACATGAAGACGTTTTAGAACAAAATCATAAGCAAGCATATCATTACAATCTTTGTGGGATCCAAATTTAGATAGGAGTTTCTGTTTTGACACATGTCGACAATGATAATAAGCATAATATATACAATACTGTCCACATACAGACGAATGTGGTCCTTGCATGTCTTTTGTCATAAATCCACGTTTTACAGTTCTTCTTGATGAATTTTCTTATGTGGAGGTAGTCCTAATGGATCAAAATATTCTCCTTTTTCAATTCGACCAAAATAAATACAGACTTAGTGGATGCAGGGTGTATGACTCGGATCCAGGTTGATGATGTACAATTGTTTTTATGTATGGTCGGGTAGTGGATCACTGGCAAACACACCTCCAAACTTCTTGCGTGTACACAAATCTTGCGAGAGTACCAACTAAACTTCTAATGTGTTCATAGCTTCTTAGATATCAAATAAGATGTTTCTAGACTAATAAATTTATAAAATTGACTAAAATTCTGCTTATGCTAGAACACTTATAGTGTTGGGTAAGGCACTATCAAAACATACTTAAAATCGTAACTTGCTCTGTTTCACCAAGTTAAAGTGAGAATCTCCAGCAGGTGTGAGATCAAAGGCAAAGAGCGTATATCCTCAAGAGTATTCCTCATATCCTATATCAATTCCTTGATCTTGAAACTGTCTTCCTGTTCCATTAAATAATGTTTCGTAGCTTCATGTATACAGTTCAGCATCAAAATCTGGCTGTAAAGGTCGAGCAGGAATCTGTTTTCCATCCACATTGATTCCTATGAAATTGATACTGTAATGTTTGAAATTGTATGGATTTGTCTTCCCAGATCTTTTAAATGCATCATTAGCAACACATCCTATAACAGGTACTTGACCTAAAAACGCCTTATCAATAGATGCTTGTAAGTTTCCCTGGGAAATTGAAAACAATTTGCACATTATATATCTCAAAGGATATTTAGCTGTTCCTTTCTGAAATGCCTTAACACGTGGCAGGATAACTACTGGGCTGATCTTGACTTTTCTAGCATAGATAGAAACGTGTTCTAGAACAATTTTGGATTCTGAGTCATCGTTTGATATAATACAAAACGAATCTTTATTTCATACAATTCGGAGTTTCAAGCTTACACCATTAGGTAAGAACTTGTTCTGTAAAAAGATATCTGAATGTAGATGGCCAATCATGTCGACTGTTTGACTACCATGTGCACCTATGTGTCAGTCTTTGATTCCATGTTTCTCACCATCATTAAAATCATGATCATCAAAACTACCTGCCGTGTATTTTATCCACATAGAAGATGTTAAATGATTTCTCTTAGCTTCATCATTAAAACTCAGTAAAGTTTCTATGTAGACCTTATATGTGAGATGAAGAAATGAGTTTGTCATTGAGGCGTACATCAGCTTGAGAAAATAGAGAATGAATTAACAAGTTGACAGGTGCAGAGGTATCTTCATCCTTTTTGATGTCAGTCCCATTAAGCTTGACAATCTTTGCTTTTACATGGAGATATGATTGCGCCGGATCTAAATATTTATCAACTGATTCCTGTAGGGTTAAAATCCTTTTGTTTTCGCAGCACGTCGTTAATTAGGTCGATTATGTTACTATTTGGGATGGATCTTCTACTAATCACTAATTCTCTACGATCATTCCACATTAGATCCCCACTGGAACGTATGAAGTTTAATAGAATTTCAGCTTTCTTTTTATATGTCTGAGGAACACTGTCAACAATCTCTAAATTTTCATGAGTCGGCAATTCCATTTTACAATATAATAGGTTTCATGGCTTGTGAATGAAAGGCTAGATGTTACATAGGTAAGTTGTGGTTTGTCCTCAGACATACCCCAACGTCCCCAAAAGGAATTAAAAACTTCTTTCTAGATAAAAAACAATATTTTCAGGGGTCAGTTGCACTCCTTCATTTTCGCTATACTGGTCAACATAATATTGCTTTGCCTCCGATGTTATATAGTGAATATGCGAACCAGAACTTTTTTGCTTTAATTTAAGAAACTTATTGATATAGTTCTTAAAAAAGATCTCTAGACTTGATGAGAAAACGATAAATTTCATATATTCTTATTACCTGGTATCCACACTCGACTGCTTTTTTTATTTCTTCTGTGACCCAGGTATCGATGATAGCTCTCTTATCGTGGCAGTGATTTAGATTCCACACATGATCCACATAAAGGAAAGGTTAATTTACCATTACTTCTAAATAGTAAAACTGGAGGATAGAGTTTCCTCGGGGTTAGAATTTTACATTTTATAAAACCAAAATCATTGTTTGAATTAGAGAAATTTGTTGTTATTATTGTAGGATGTCCAATTGGATACTCACAATATTTGTTTGTCCATGGATATAGCGATGTAAAATCCATGTACTTTATGTCTTCTCCTTCATTTATATCATATAAAAGTCTTGTTTCTTCGACTCTCCCTCACAGAAATCTGTAACATTAGACTTCATTTTCTTAAACTCATGTTCCTATATTGTTATGTATCCTAGAGCTTCGAGTTGTTTCTGTCTTTCTAATGTACGATTTCTAAAAAACCAAATAGGTTTATTTAGAACTACATTCTCTGTGTCAGATTCATAACATTTATTACAACCATTGTTGTAGCATCCATAAAACTCATAGTTCGTGTTTTGTTCCATACAAAAACCGTCTACTCTATAATTCAGGATTTGTTTCTCACCACCATTAAGTGCATGTTGAATCTTAAACTCCTAAGATGTTTGTATATAATCTAACCATTGGATACTAACTTGGCTGTAGTTGTTTCATAAAGTATCTCTGATTAAGTATGAGAGCTATCGATCGTGGTGGTATAAATTTGCTTCTTTATACTGTCATGCATACAGAAGCAATGGTCGTATATCTGAAGGGATCTACATCGCAGGTTGCAAGAAACTCTTTCCTGAATTAAAGACAGCACTGTAAAAGTATATCTACGTCTGTTCAGCAGGATCTAAGAAAAAAGAAATAATGATAAATATAACTTTCAACAAAAATTTGCAAGAGAACAACAACAAAATTAATAATAATCAACATTGCTGGTGTTATTTTTCTTACCCGTACATCTCTTCTTGAAAGTCAAAGTTGTACTCTTCCTCTCGTTGCTGACAGTGCCAATCCAGGAACTTCTGTGTTGTGGGTGCCGACATGGTATTGGGAGAGTATAAACTGGCATCCAGTATAGGTCCTCTATATTCCTGATTTGACTCTGTATTGAAAAGATGTTGGAAATATCCTTTCTGTACTTCTTCTAATCCAAATGTTTTGAAAACAATGATTAAGACATAGGTATGAAATTGTAATTGTCAATTGTTCTAGTTCTGAGACTTTTGACATTCATTACCACAATTTTTCCACCATTTACGATAATGTTGAGCTTTATTCCTTGATGAATAGAATAAGTCAAGATAAACTGGCCCGTCAAAACCTCTCATATTATATGCTATAGCTGTATAATTCTTATGTTGTTTTGAAAATAAAAACTTACAAAATTCTTCACATGTTTCCTTATTGTTATAATCAAGAACCACAGGGTAGTTTACTCGTGAATTCCTCTTTCCTGATCTGTCTCAAAATAACAAAATAAGTATTTATTCGACGAATCTTTGACATCTTTAACATGAAGAAAACACAAATGGTTATTTAAAACATACGATTTACACCCTACACATATGATTTCGCCACCTCAATGAAATTCTGGATAAAGTTTATTTCTGTCAATAATGACAAAACAAATTCTACACTGGTAAAAATTATCATATGAAGATATCGTTTGTTTACCCTTCTTTGTTTTATGTCTGTTGTAACATTCTGCAGATTTAGAAAACCTGTTAAAATCATTATAAACTAT